ATAATGTTTAACCCTAATGATCTATACATATATTTAGGTTTCCAAAATCAACCATAATTCAATAGCTTGATGACCACCCCTTATAAACTTATGAAACTAATTAATAATAATAAATAACATGTAATTAATAATAATAAAAGATAACTATCAACTACTACATAAAACTAAGCCACGGCAATTACAAAGTTGTACCCAAACAACCTTTGGTTAATAATTTGTATTAAGCGTACAAATTACTGAGATATTTATCTCTATATACCAACAATTTAATATTAATTGATATACATCACAAATGACATTTATACATCGGATGACAACAATATTGAGTAGTTGCTTTCAGGACCTGGGCATTTAAGTACCAAGGATTCTAGCAAACTTTAGTACCAAATACCAAAGTTTCAATAGCAACTTGCAAAAGAAATTCCCAATGTATGCATATATAGTCCTCCTTCAAGTTCAAGATATGTACTTACAATTCTAAGAAATCGCTATCGCTACGAGGAGTGGGACCCACTTACCTCCGTCATTCACTAACGACATCTATTTCAGAGACTAAAAACATGACAAAATAATCGACACATAAATTATTTATAAAAAAGTGAACCAAAATGATGCATTATTTTCCTACTTTATCATCACCACGATAGAGGTGTAGGTGTGGGTACATTCTATGCATTTTGTTTCTCTTTTTAGTTAATTTTAACTTCAATATATTTCCTTATTTTGATTAAAAACAACATAAAATATAATGCCCTTATAGGAAGTATTCTCATAACATCGGTGGAGAATATGGGTGTATTGTCTATGGTAAAGTGGGTAAGAACAAGAAGACAAGTAATATGCTTCTTTTGACCCAATTGGTGGTATCTTATTGGCCAATGCACATTTGTAAAAAAAGGTGTTTAATGCAATTATGGTCAAGTTGATACTTCCTTGGAGAGGGTTTTGCCACGCCAAAGGGTAAGGGTCCCTTGTCTTTAATGAACATTGCCCACATCCTAATTAATGTTTTATGACTTTATTTATCCTTCAACTTGATTTTTCTCCAAATTTCACATAGCTCCCATAACTAACAAAAAGACCACATTTCACCCCTAATGCTTTTCTAACCTTTCACTTTTGTGAGATGTCTTGTTTACCCTTGTCATTACTCACAACAATATGGAGTCTAAAGGAGAGGAAATTAATCAAATCTAGAAAGAATTGAGAAAAATATATATAATTTTGATTTTAGCCTTACTCTAACAACCCAATCTTAACTTAACATAAGTGGAATCAATGTGTAACAATTAAAACCTTAAACTAGACTGTTACAAGTTACAAGAAATCCAATTTAGTTGAATGTTACCAAATCCCAAAAAAATCGTCATAGAAACACCACACACGTGTAAGCTTTCGTTTAATGACATGAAAGAATTGTTTATTCTCCAAAACATTAAATATGCATTTCATAAATTTGTTACAATAAATGTAAACACTTTTCAAACAAGACATGCAAGAGTTGCCTATTTTCCAAAAAATTGTGATCACTCATATTAGCTCTTGCACGTAGCAAGAACGTTCGTACCAAGCCATAAGACCAATCATGGATTTATAATCAAAGTTTGCTAAAGATTTAAATATTTTGATAGTTGTTAATAATGACTTATGTTTATGCCGAGTAGTCTATAAAGTTAAATAAAACTAATATATTAAATCGGTTATAAAAATATAATTGATAATCTATATGTGTTTAAATATACAACTACAAAAATATAAAAGTCGACATCTTTATATCTATTTGGTTTTTAATATATTATGGATATAAGATCCATGAAATTAGTTGGTGGAACAAATTGATGGTCAAAAGTTGCAATGAACAGCCACCACAAATGTAATCAAATTCTTTTGCTTAGGCGCACATTGGGCTCATTGAACCGAAATGGGCTTAGATTTGGCCCAGTTAACGCAAGGACCGTTTAAATTAAAATTCCCAGTTAAGGCTTGGTTTGGTTTGTAGCGTTTTTTTTTTTTTTTTTTTTTTTTTGTTACTTTTAATTTTTTATCTTAACGACTATATGACTGTTTGAGGCTATATTTGGCACGTTTTTTATAATTTTCCCCTCTAGTATGTGCACATTTGGTTGAGTTGGTTTCAATACAACTTGAAAAAGTTTTCTAATTTTTTCGGCAAATTTCTTGTTCCTGACTTTTATATTTCGTAAGTTCAAAGATGAAGTTTGTGTGTCCTCAAACTACCTATGTAGTGGCTAGACAACACCCATTTGGGAATTTCTTCAACTTGAATGTGAGATTAACAATGTCGATAATGATATACTAGAAGAAGTCATACAAGGTTTATCAATGCCCATGCCGATTAAGATAAAAGTGAAGACAAAACCAATAGCATTCAAGATGGAGATGATGAAAATAGCCTAAGGTTTTTACAAATATTTTTTATATATTTTTTGTACTTAATAATCAAATAAAACATATACTATTGTTTAAATGGGGTAAAAAATCTATAAAATTATTTTTACTAGTTTTTTTCTAAGTATAAAAATCAGTTAAGGAAATGTCCAACCTTGGAGTTAACGAGGCCCCATTATACAGGTTTTTGGGACCAAAATCGGTTAAGGCTAAGGACCGGTCATCGTACATTGAGTAAAGGCCCAAGACTAAGTATACTCTAAGGCTATGTTTGGCAGACTAGCTGAAAAACTAATTGATAGCTGAAAAACTAGATGATAACTGAAAAGCTAGCTGACAAAAAATAATGTTTAGTAAAAACTAGCTGATAAGCTAGCTGAAGGATAGACATAAAAGGACATTTAGAATAATACGTTTTTTGTAATTAATTAAGGGTATATTTGAGAAATTTTTAAAAAGCTACTCAAATTAGCTTTTTAAAAAGCTAGCTTATCAGCTACTATTTGGCTTGACAAACATGACAATTTAAAAAAGCTCGAAAAATAAATTAGTTTACCAGCTAGCTGTGACGCGTCAAACACAACATAAAGGTCCGTTTTGTGCACCTACACCTCTATTTATGGTAATTGTTTATATCGTATGTTTAGATCAAACAAAGTCACCACTTTCTTTAAACTTGAAATGGAAGCAACTTTAAATTCATGTTTGTCATTCTTGAAGGACTAATCAGCTTCAAACTTTGTTTGATGTGATCTAGGTAAGGTTTTCTTTAGTACAAAATTTATTGAACTGTTTGACGAGCAAGGCAGCTTATGTTGTAATATCAGTGAATTCATTTTATCAAACTCTTCATCAACCCTAGATTCACCGTCGTTCATCAAATCAAGTACTTCAATGGTGGTTTCCTTGTTCTTTGACACAAGAGCAACATAAAACAAAAAAGTTGAAAGCTCCTAAAAGCTCAAATAGTTTTTTGTTCAAAATAAAAGTTTATAGTTTGTACTTTCAAACAAAGTTTTTTTTGTCTTTAATTCGAGTTTTTCCTTAAAATCTAAAAACCACAAGCTCTCAAAAGTTAATGGTTGAACATTTACCCTTAGACTTTTGGTGCAAAGCTAGAGGTTTGTCAATGCAGCCAACACATGCTTATGGAATGAAATATATATATATATAATATATATATATATATATATATATATATATATATATATATATATATATATATATATATATATAATAGAAATGTCAACAAACACCCATCCCATCCGATGTACATTCATTCATTTTTATGGTCGTTTAATAGGGTCAACCGATTGAGTTTCGGATAAGTCTGGTTTTACTTATAAAAAAAATTGACCCTAAAGCCAATCCTATTATGGTTCGGCTTAGTCGGGTTATGGTAGTGGCAGTTAGACAGATTGAAATATGAAATAAATAATATTTGTTCATTTTAACAAATAACTTACATAATAAATTGCAAATTTAGTCCATGTGGTATTCCAAAAAGTACAGTTTTAAAATATCATGCATATTTGATCCCTTAAAAATTTAAATACACTTAAAAATACTATTTTTAATTGCTGATTTTATTTCCATATTTTATTATTTACTTGAATATTTTATAATTTAAAAAAAAAAAAAAAAAACCCTATCCCGCCCACATATTCTCTTTTAATAAACTAACATTATCTTCTCTCTCTTCTCTTTCCTATTAGAGCACCACCGCCACCCGAAAAAATCTCGTCGGAACGCCACCGACAATGAGTCGCCCTTATCTGTCAAACCATCACCATCTCCACGCACTGTTGTACGCAGTCGCCCCTTTCACCAGACCACCACCTTAATGCCATTTGTTCTTCTCAACCTTCACCGAAGCTTCCTTCACCACTAAACCCTAACATCGTCGGAACCTACGCTAGCTAGGGTTTTCTAGTTCAAGGGTTAGGGTTCTCAAATCGGAGTGGGCGTTGCTATAATCATCTCTCTATTTCTTTCTCCGACGAAGTTGATCTAAGGTTTCCAGATATGTGTTTGAGTCGAACATGAACTTGGAAAACCCTAACCCTAGTGCCCTATCACTGATTAGATAGGTTTATATATATATATATATATATATATATATATATATATATGTCTTCTCTGACAGTGGTGGCTGTGTTGACAACGGTGCCAACTTCGTCTAGTGGTCGCAGCTTCTTGTGTAGATGAAGATCGGTTTGTTGAAGATGGTGGTGGTGGTTTTTGGAGAGAGGTGGGAGGGGTGTGGTATATTTTTTCGCCCGACGAACAGATGGCATGAAGGTTGTGGTCCAACAGATAGGGGCGGCTCCAGCGAGATTTTTCTGTCGGTGGTGGTGTTCCAGCAGGATGGAGAAGAGAAATAGAAGATGGGTTGGAATAATAAAAGAGAAAGGAGCGTGTGGGATATGTTATCAGGGGTTTTCTTTTACATGTATAGAACCTAGAGTGTAAAGTGTTAAAATGCTTGAACTTTTTTCATCGAGTTTATATATATGGAACGCATATGCGCTTCACAAAGTGGTACAAATTACAGATAATTTTGGCATACTGTTGACTTGAACAATAAGAATGGATGGTTAATAGAAAATGAGGAACAAAAGAATATTGATTAGTATATTCAAAAAATTTACGAATTTAAACTATATATCATCTCACACTTTTTCCCCAGCTACTTGAGAAATCAATACAACGCTTTTCGTTCTTACAACATAGAAAATTTTTAAGCCAGCTTAAAAAATGTAGATAGCAGTGCCAGTGATTACTCTCTGTGAACAGTAGCTCTTGACAAGTCTACTGAGAGTTTGCCACGTGAAAACAAAAAAGAAATTGGGTTTATTTTTCCGCCTTGCATTTGCGTCAGTGCATGTATGAGAAAGGTTACGTTAGTGCAAAGGTAAAGCAAATCCATGTAATTCAATGTAAATAAATATAATGAAAAGTCAAAAAAGAGTGTCCATATATATTCAGTTTGAAAAGTAGGTGAAACCAACAACTTGTATATGGTTAGATAGATTAAAAGAAAACAAGACCATAATAATAACACCATTCATACTGCTTGCTGCAAATGCATATTAATTAAGTTTCTTTTATCTTGAGGCACCAACATTATATAATTACTATTTTCTGGACAAATCAAATCAATCACACTCACTGGGCTTAGTTGGTTGATGCTTATTATGTACAACACACCATATCCATATCCTCTCTCCACTTGAGACTTGTTCTTCTTCTTCTGGAACAGGGTCCTCCTCCTCTCATTCTCATTACTTGCTATAACCCTATAACAAATAACCCAAACAAACAAACATAATTATTAATTATTAATAGAAAGAAATCAAACAATTAGAATAAATGACAATGACCTACCTGCTGGTTTCTGGAAGCCCTGTTTCAGAAGGTTTTCAATCTTTCAACAATAACACAATCCATTCCATCCGGAATTCCACATTAAGCAAGCTCAGAATCAGCCAACAAGTCAGTCAAGTCACATCTCTTCCTCTCCTTAATTAAATCCCAAATGTTCTGTTGTTATACAGATCACCCGAACTTGGCATCCGGAACTTTGTATCTTCATAACCATAACCAGAAGAATAATACTTGTTGAATCCCAATCTCTCATTCCTCAGAAGCTCCGCCATTGCAATATCATTCCCATTCCCATTCCCATTCCCAACTTCATTCCATCCATCCCAATGCCCATTAGACATCCTCGGCTGTTGGAATCCACCCTGCTGATAACTGGATCGGTTATTGTTCTGTTCTAGAATTCTTGAAGGAACTCCATAACCATCTCCCCCTAGGCCTAGGCCTAGCTCACTAAATCTCTGGTTTTGGTTTTGGTTTTGGTTTTGGTTTTGGTTTTGAGTTTGGTGTGTGAAAGAAGATCTTTGCATTAAAAGTCTAAGCCTGTTATCGTTTTCATAAGAAGCAACAGCATGTTGTGAAGGGAAGTTTGATGATGATCTCATCATGTCAACTCTACTACCACCAATAGCTAAAATTGCAGGATCCATCAACTCAAGCTCACCACCGTTATATACAGGAGCCGCTGCTGCTTGATGCTGATGCATTTTTCTAATTATAGAACTACTCTCAAACATATGATTCCCTGCAATAAAAATAAATATATAAAATATATATATGTACAGGAGAAAGATAAAAGAATATATGGTAACATACCAGATAAGTTATCATATGTCTGTTCTATCCTCTCATTAAAGGTGAACCCTGGAGGTGGTGCTCTGCTGGGCCCCATAAATCCAGGAGGTGCAGAGATTTGAGATCTTGAAACTGCAGTTTTATTTTTCCCACACAAAAAAATAAAACATATATTATAAGCAGAGGGAATCAATCATACATGATAGAGTGATTAGAGTCTAGAGACATTACCTGAAATCTTATTGGAAGAATAATTGCCAGCACTACGATTGTCAGATTCCTCAAAATTAAAAGCAGAGAAACCATTCTCATCTGTGTTGCTGACAAAATCACGCTTCATGTTCATGTTCTGATGATTGAGATTTTGACCAAAATCATTAAAACTTTGTGTAAAATTGAAATTGGATCCTTGATCCTCCTCTCTTGCAAATGAGAACCTTGACTGATTGCAATTTTGTGTTTTTCTTGAAGAGCCAGATCTTTCTTGTTTATCACTGTTGTTGCCTAATAATTTAGCCAAGTTCTGAGGTGAAGTTAATGACTCGTCCCAAGGGTCAAAGTCCATTGACAGAATATTAGATATTATACTGTTTTCTCCTAAATCTATTGAACCATTATTATTATTATTATTATTATTACTAATATGGTGGTCCCTCTTTGCTGTAGTATCATCAAATATTCCAATTTGCTTATTAATGTAAGAATGCCCATTAGACCCTTCAAAAAAGGAATTGACATCTCCATTGGAAGAATGCCCATTGGCTACTGGCATATTTATGGTATTCAAAAGGGAACCTCCTCTATCAAGGTTTTGACTCCCAAATGGAGAATAAGAATTCTGATTCAAATGGGATGATTGAGGGACATTCTGTATATAGCTTGTATGTGTAACAACTTCTGGATCCCTCAGCCTCTGATCATTAAAAGATAACAAATCCGCTTCTGCTTCTGCTTCACTAACTACAACTTCTTCTTCTTCTACATTATTCTGAAAATCTGGTTCTGCTTCTGGTTCTAAACAAGACACTTGTCTTTTATTGTCCATGGTGGGATTGGGATTGGGATTGGTATTGGTATTGGTACCCTTCTTTGGTTTATTTGAAGTGAAAGGTTGTACATGTACAAGTTTTTCATCTTCACATGGTTGTAATCCTAATTCATGATTCCTACCAATGCTGAGTGATGATAACTTCTGGATTCCTCCTTCATCAGAAACAACATCCTTGTCCTTGTCAGGGGCAGTTTCGGAAGATTGCATTGAATCGTTTTTATCATTTGGTGCAGCTGTACAAAGATGACTGTTTATGGTTGAGGTAGCAGATTCCGGATGATGATGATGATGTTGCAGCTTACTTTCTTCACTGTGATTCTTTAGTATCCCATTGGAATGTGATGAGGGGCTCACTACTGCTGTTGAAAATGACAGCGTAGTAGTAGTAGTAGTAGTAGTAGTAGTAGTACAGGTGTCCACCTTTTGCTTTAAAGTTCCATTAGAACTCACTGCATTTGCAGCAAGAGGTTGGCTATTTGAAGCATGTGTTCCCCTGTGTAAGTAAGTAAGCACATGAATCAGTAGATATTCAAAAGAATTATAATTTTTTTCATTAGAAAAGACAAACATACCATGAGGCTGCTGCAGGAAGAGCTACAGATCTCCCAGAACTGCTATTTGGTGGGGAAACTTTCATGCTGTTGGTTGTATCCTGTTTGTGAGAACAAGTCAAAGTCAATGTCCATAGATAGATTTCTGCAAAATAAGAAAAAGGTTGACATGGAGTATCTTACATTTGTAGGAGTTTTACTAATAGGTTTCGCCCATGAAGAAGTGGTGTTATTAGAGTAATCATCTGCTGCAGGTGGTAAAAAATTCCCTGATCGCCTTTGTATATCATTTGTAATACCAGTAACTTGCTGAACTCTACCCCTTTAAAAACCACTAAGCAAGTTAATTTAGGGGCAATAAATATTTACTTCAACTAACATAAAAAGCCATATGCATCAAGAGACTGATCTAAACCTTGTATATTCTGATATTATTTCATCTTTAGTGAAGCTATCCTCTTGTGATCCAAACTCATGCAAATACAAGCAATCAGGATTGGTGCAAGGCTGTAACAACAAAATTAAATTGCTCTCAATCAAAATACAGCTAAAAAGTGAAAAAAAAAAATTAGTGTAAAGCAATAAAGTAATAAAAATCAACTCATTTGCATATCATACCATGTTTCTAAGCCATGCATGACAATACTTTGTGGTCCCAAAACAGGCTCTGCAACAAAATTCCAGTTTAATAACTAAAATAATAGACAAAAGAAGAAAAAAAATCACTTTTCAGGTCATGTTATTGGGTTCTAACCTCAAAGGTCTACCCTCCAAAACAAACCCATGTACTGATTGTATGCTTCGAACAGCTTCATCCTCCTTTGAGTAAGTAATATATCTGAAAATTATAAATATAAATATGATAGATACAGAAGTTAGTCATGAATTGGGGAAAACATGCAATATGTGAAGAAAGATGGAAAATCTAATCTCACAGTATTAGCATGATACCTGAAACGTGCCTTCAGTAACTAACGGTAACTAAGATGTTAATAGACACATTTCCAAATAATGAAACATATCAACTGATTACAATGTTCATGTGAGTATAAAGAATTGAACTTACACACTACAAGTATTGTTTGCAAAATGTTGAATGGAACCAGCTGCTGTTCGAGATATAGAAACCTTCAGCACCTTCCCATACTGACCAAAATATTCTTTTCGCTGCAGAAGCTGCATTGTAGAACATGGATAGGGTTAAAACTCAAGAAGAGTAAGTCAATGTTGACTTTGTAGTAGGAAAGTAAGAAAGAGTAATTAGTAAGAGAGAATGAGATAGAGAAATACATCTTCATCTGCTAAATTAAGAGGTAGTCCCACAATGTAGACAAGGTTCCTTTGAATAACCCTCACACTACTAAGCTGCTTTCTACCTTCAGAAGTTTTGGTTTTTCCCTTCAGTGACTTTTGTTTCTTTTCCACACTCATTTCAGATACCAATCTGGTAAAACAATGAGAAGTCCAAGATAATGAGTATAATAAATAAAAAAAGTCAACAACTTTTATTGTAACATATGTCAAAGCACCAAACCTTTCACACTTTGATGCTGTCCCAACTATTTTTTCCTTGTTATAAGGGGTGCGACATGCTGGGCACCTCCCTTCTGTATCATCCTTCTCAGCCATATCCATAATGTGGTGCCAACACCAAACACAAATCTGCAATATGATGCTTCTTTAATGTTATTAACAAGTCATGTAAACAGTTACTAGCTTTCACATGAGCAATCAATTGCATGGAGAGTTCTTAGAATAAGTTACTCTGACGATTTAAGCAAAAAAAAAAAGGTAACTTGTGCAACAGATAGCATTTAGAAAGAATTTGAACCATACATCATAGCCACATTTGCAAGGCCTCAGCTGCTGATCTGTCAAATCCATCTCTTCAGCACAAAGTGGGCAAGTCTTTTCTCCTTCATCACTCATGGTTGCCTTAACAAGAAACACATACAACTTAGTACAAAAAGAAGTGTAAATAACATAAGACCCAATTTTAACAGGAGATGAACATGTATGGGAACAATATGCAGATTTACTTTTTAGATGAAGAGAATCTGCTCAGTAATATGAGCACAAACATAAACTAAATAACTGTTGCATTCGGAATATAAGTACACGTGCATCTTTGAAGAATAAAAGTTTCTCTTGGTTATCATTAAGCCTAGATCAGGCACACTTGATCCCCAAAATTGCTCGGTCAATAAAAGTTTCAGCACAAAGAAAGATATTTTATTCTATTCAGCTGCCAACTGCATATATTGCCTTCACATTGATTGAGATTTTTAAGAAATCATTAAAGGCAAAAACAAAACTAAACACAAAATATTGGAAAAATAGGGATACGACAGAAAGGAGAATACTCGCTAGCTATTACCCTAAATCAAATCCATAAAACCCTATTCATCGGTAAATCTACCACTGATTCGATGAAAATTATTCAATTGACCGAAGAATCACTAAGTAACATCCACCAAAAACTAAATCAAATCGGAGAACTCTAATAAATCAAATCTTTTGAACATGCCTAAATCCACAACTAATTTTGCATCGAATAAACTATTATAAAGCTGCAAAAGATACCTAGATATAGCATCTATGTCAACTCATCGTAACATAAGCATATATTACAATCGAAAACATTAAACTACAACAAAAAACGAACGATTAATAAGACGGTCATACAAATAGAAAAATTAGGGATCTTTCAATCAAAACAAGAAAAAACGAAAAAACAACAAAGATCCAATAAAACATCAATCAATAGATGAATTGAGATCAAAAGACTTACAGTAGGCCGATGGATCAACGAAAGAGGGAGAGTAGATGGAGAAGCGAAGAGGATGAGAGAGAAAGAGAGAGCCACAAAGCCTAATTGGGAACGAGAGAGAGAAAGAGAGAGGCGATCGTCTACGGATGTGTTTTAAGCTTTCGCTGTATTTGTGCGTCTGATTTTCTATCATTCGTATAATGTCGATTTAAATATTTAGCTGATTGATTTTTGCCCTTAGATTTGGACATAATTACGAGGTGGGCTGTGTTATGTGTGTCCCATTTTTTGTCGAACATGATGGGAGCTTTGGGTTGGATATGAATTGAACGTGGATAAACCTAAATTTTAAAGTTTTATTTCAAAAAAATTGACTTTAAAAAATAAAGGATAAAGATATCTTGTATAAGTTTACAGTGGAATCTTTTATTTCATTACTAATAAAAAGTTTTATGATAGATTTTCAACATGTGCTTTTTAAAATAAGGGTTAATGTCATCAACCAAGTATCAGTTTTTGTTTTAAAAGGTCCTTTAATTATTTCTTTTGCATTCTAGGGACATAAGTCGATATTAACATGTTTATTTAGTCACTTAACCTTTTATAGGAGGTTATTTCAGGCTAACAAAGAGAATATGTCGTGTTGGAGCTTAGTGGTTTTTCAGATTGGGAGCAAGTTGGTTGGTGGTTGTCGAGGCCAACAAAATTAATAACCCTAATTATTACACACTAAAATAGTGTATAGTGGTAAAGGTATCGAATCCACGGGGATTGGTTCAATTTAATAACTCTATGAAAAATCTCTTTGTAAAAATACTTGGAAAATGACAATAAATTAAAACTGGGGGTTTTGGTGTTTTGAAATACTTGAAACAAACTAGAATTAACTAAGATTTAAATAGACAATTTCAACAAAAATAAGAGTTTGATGTAAAATCAAAAAGAGAAGGATGGTTGACTTAAGGTTCCTCACTTTGACTTTTGATGAACATATCATTAGAATCAAATGGTGCAATACTTGTTTTAAACCCTTAATTTGGCTATAGTAATCCAAGGAGCTTGAGATTACCTAGACTTTTCTTAATTGTTGAAATGGTTAGAGAAGCTCATAACAATTTCCTTAGTTAAAGTCACTAATTCCATTAAACATGTAATTAGTGAAAGTCAACTAGCATTAAGAACCAAAAAATCACCAAATCCAAGAGGGGTCAAATGCTTTCACCACCATATTGGAGAAAATGTTTTTATGATTGTGTGAAGTAAAACTAACACAAGAATCACTTGTTGCTTGCTAATTTGAAGATCCTTTACTTAATCAAGAAATTAGCCAACTAATCACCACAAACACATTTAAACTCATGAATAAAAACATGCAAGTAATGATAAGATGTTAAAACACAAAACATTTTCATAAAGATTCAAACACAAATTCATGGATTCTTCAATATTCAACAAAAGTTCAAAGGATTCAACAAAAGTCAACCAAGATTAGTTTAGCCAAGCATGACTAAACTCAAGGAAACAAAGTTAGTTAAGATTGTACCAAACATTTAGCAAGAATTAAGAGATGAAATGGTGAAGTTCTTGAGGGTTCTTGGCCTTCAAAAAATGCTCCAAACTCCAGAGAGAAAAGTATCAAAATTGGACCTCCAAGATTATGCTAAAGAGGCACACCAACCTTCCCAATATAGAGCTCTAAGTAAAATCCTGAAATTGCCCTTGTCAGGAATCCACGCGGGCCGCGGGGAATCTTACGCGGGCCGCGTGACTTCGACGGAAATTTTTGGGCTTCTTCAAGTCTTGGGCCCCCACAGCTAATCAATTGGCCCAGTTCGAGTCCAGTCAGCTTCTAGCCCATTTTTCTTCACTATTTCTTCAACTTGAGCCCAATTTGTCTCTCCACATCACTCAAAATTTCCGCAAACTCCCCAAACATCGATCTTGCACACTCAAGAATTCTCCCGTGTCTTTCAAATTTAAAGTTCAACACTTCCACTCCTTCAAGCATGAAATCCCCATTTCTCTTCAAGTCCAATCGCCTCCCAAAAATCCTGCTCTGCTAGCCTCCAAAAAATCTGCAATAATGCTCAAGAAACTAGAAAGTACCCGAAATGGTCATAAAAATAACAAAAAGGAAAATATGCATGGAAATTAACTAAAATGCGAATGAAATATGCTAAAATAAACTATTAAAAGAAGTAAATAAAATGAAGCTATCATTGGTACTCCCGCTTCCTTTCTCGACCATCTCGTTCCGATTTCGCTGATCTACCTCTACCCGATTTGGGTTCCATTGTTGTTGTCAGAATTAACCACTGTCAGCGTAGGTTCCATTGTTGTTGTCGGAATTAACCAATTAAGTAGATGGATAGATAAAGCAATTTTACAATGGAACCATGAATTTTGAAACCGAATTACCCAAAAGTAAGTTTCAGGGAATGATTTCAATTACCTATTTCCTCTTAAACCCCAGTCAGCTTCCTGTAAAATTCTCTTTATTTTCTCATTTATGTGAATTTGGTTTGAATATGTATGATGCGACTCTATTCCACCCTTTTTCCGAATGTTAAATGTGGTTGAATCAAAATTGGTTTCAAAATTGTTTAGTTTGCTGCAAAACGTATAGGCCCATAATTTCATATAATCAATTTATAATGAAATCTATTATTTCATTACTATTAAAAATTTTATGATAAATTTTTAACACGTGCTTTTAAAATAAAGAAAAAATATCAATGTATACAATTAAGTTTTATAGTCTTATCGTTTTTGTAACACTCGTAGATCCGGGCTAGTCAATTTAAAGACAATGAGCATCAAAAATGAGTTTTTGATGAAATATTATTTAGAATGAGTAATCTTAACCAAGTTGTAGCATATTTTACAAGGGTTCCGTACATATAAAGAACGCCGAAATCCGAGTTATAACGAAGAAGTTATGACCCGTCGAAGTTTCGCGGCAAAAACAGCACGGCACCGGGAAACGTAAAATAGTGAATTTACGATAGAGGACTTTTTGGCCTTAGTAATCTAAACGAAGTCGTAGAATATGTTAAACCGAGAACGTCCATAAAAAGAACGCCCAAATCTGACTTCGTATGAGGAAGTTATGAATTTTCTAAGATTTGGCAGAGCAGTGCACGACCCGAAACTCGAATTTTAGTTCGAGCGGTTTTTGGCCTACGCGACCTAAATAAGAGTTGAAGATCTCATTAATAGGAATTCAACGATAAAAAGACAGACGAAAACGGAGTCCGTATGAAGGAGTTACGAATTTTTCGCGGTCATTTAACAGTGTAATCTCCTCCTACTGTTAAATTTAAGATCGGTTGAGAATTAGCCAATGGAGTCAAAATGAAATTTATAGATCTTGTTTTTACCTACGCGTGGATATAAAGAACGCCGAAAACGGAGCTCGTATGCGAAAGTTACGGGGTTTAGAAGTCGGCAGGGTGTTGTGCGAAATCGGGTGACGTGGCTGAATATGGGCCAAGGCTTTCTCCCCAAGGCAAGCCACCCGATGGTGACACCTGGCCATGGACTCGACGAGTAGAGCAGGATTCCAACCTATAAATAGAGGTGTCGGGTTCCCTCATTCTTCACACCTTCCCAACTTCACTTTCTCTCTCTACTTTCTCTCTCTAAGCCCCTAACCCCCCCCCCCCCAAGCCTAGGTAAACCCCCTAGCACCCGAAGGAAGCCCCGAGGCTCCCGAAGCCCCGAGAAAAGAGTCTTTCGGCTCGGGAACGCTGCTCCAGCGAAGCCCAATTTTGCGAAAAACCCGCTGTTTTGTCAAAAAAAAATTGTGTTAAGAGTAACGAAGTGTTGTCCGAGTGCCGAGTCACCACCTTTTCAAGTGAGTGCATAGTTACTTTCATCTTACACATAGATATGAAGTATTTAATATAAATTACATGTTATGTGTGCATATTGTCTGTATACTTGCCGTCTGTGCTGGGTGAAAGATTTTATACATGTTTTAAATGATTTAAACTGTATATGTATTTTATATCTACAAAATGTGTTGGGTAAAACATGGGTAGATGAAATAGTTGTTGTGTGACAAAAAAATAAAATGATGAGAGATGATATAAACCATGAGATAAGGGTGAGAGGTGAACCACGAGAGAAGCCTTTTACCCAAGTGTTGGCCCCGTCATCTAGCAGAGTATGGATGACAACCACGGACTATTCTAGACAGTCCAGTGGAACACTAGCAGGCTCGCAACCTGTATGTGTTATTTGAACTGTGTATTCACCAGCTGTACTCTAAAAACTCATTGACATGTATTGCGAGTGGATTCTCGGAAACGATACTGTCAATAAACGAGATAACCCTGGCAGATGCGCCTAAAGGACTCTACCGACAGAAACGCCTAATAGAGAACCTCATAACCCCGGCAGATGCGCCTAAAGGACAATACCGACAGATGCGCCTCATAAGGAATGTCACAATTCTGGCAGCTGCGCCTAAGTGATAATATTAGTAGCTGTGCTTGACAGATGTGTCATTACGAACGATGGATTTCGTGCTTATTCCTTAGGATAATCCTTAGGAATGAATGAACGATGAATAACTAATTCTTAGGGTAAATCCTTAAGAAATAAAGAATATAATGGGGATGGGTAATTGGGTTGATTGTTTAATGATTAAACATAATTATATTATTATGGGTTGAAAACCCTATGTACTCACCAGGTTTCCCAACCTGACCCGCTTAAGTTTATTGTATCACAGATATCGATATGAAGTTACATTACACTGAGAGATTAAGGAGATGTAAATCACTAGTGTTAATGAATGTAAGTTCTGTTTATGCTTATGTTTCTGTATTGACGATGACATCCCAATGTTTTAAAATGAATAAAATACATTTCTTCGGAGATGCTTTGATAACATATTTATCATGTTTTTATGGGAACAAATTCCGCAACTCTTTTCTTTAAAAGGTTACTCTGATTTTTAAAATAAAACATAAACAAATCGGTCTTTTCTGACCGTGAAAATGGGGATGTCACAGTTTTGAACTAACTTTTTTTTTGGAAAAATTATAAAAATGTTCTTACATACTGGACTCATAATAGATTTAGTTTTTATATATTTTTCTTATTCAATTAAGTCTCAAAAACCGGTAATTATATTCAATTTGACTATTTTTACCCGGTTAACAGGTCATCTAACTTTTAAAACTTACACTTTTGACATAGATTTCAAATTTTATAACAAATTTGGTCCAAATGAAACTCGGAAACATCAATTTTCTTTTACTTTCTTTTCACTTCCACCAAATTCCTTTATTTTTTCTCGTTAAGTTAAAATTGGGAACGGGGTGTAAGGGTAAAACTGTCATTTTTAAAAAGCTAACAACCAAACTGTTAAATTATAACGAAATATATACCAAAACCACAACAACACCACCAAATATGAACTTTTTTTGCTAATAAACTTTTTTTAGACCTTACCAAACAAATCGACGAACCACAAGGAACATTTCTTCAATTTTGTCTTATCTTAAATTTGTTAAAAAGTTTGGATCAAGCTATTCCAAACCCATTCTAGTTCGAGGCATATCTATAATTCTATATGCATATAGCAAAATATCTTTGGATGAGCGATGCTTTTAGGGTTTGGGGGAACCAAATCCAACTAGGCCATGAAAACTGAAGCCCACTGGGTTCTTGGCACAATGGGTACGGCAGGGCGGCAGGCGGTGGTGGGCTGTGTCATATGATGTGAGCTGTGAGGCCGTATGAATGTGAGTATACGAGTTGGATACTTGTATTATTGTAACCTGCATAACTTCCTTTTATATTATATTTTGTTTATTTAAAAATTCCAGTTCTTTCCTAACTTGACCATTGGAGTTTATAAATTTTAATCCCACTGCCAATAAATTATACAATTATAGAAATTCAAGTTTTTATTTTAACTCTAAAAATTATGAAGTAACTCCCCACCTACTGTTTTGTCTGTATACCATTATGGGACCTTAATTAACCTTATATAACGTCGCAATTGATGAAAGTCTTAATAAACTACACTTTTAATAACATTTCAAGAATTGTACCATATTTTGCACAGAATGCGTTTGAACTATATATAATATTACTAATTTATACGTAGGTCCTAACTCCTAACAGACGAAGTTTTACAAAAGTGTAATATGTTTATTTCTTATCGCTTAATATCATTATTAATAATTTATAAAATAATTTTTACATAATTTTCTTGATATTATTTCATTTAATTTTTTATTTCTGCTATCCTAATGTTTATTTTTATCAATTAATATCATTTAGTAATATTTATTTTACAAAATATAAATATACGACACTAAAAGGGATAATGACTTAGGAGGGTAATTAGGTTTCTAGTTTGTCCGTATTAGGTCACTAAAGTTTTTTTTGTGCGTATTAAACCAATATGGTTGTTATTACCGTTTAGAAATAGTCATTTTTACCGGTTTCTTCTTGTTTAACTGGTAAAAATGACTATTTCTAAACAGTAATAACAACCATATTGGTCTAATACGCACAAAAAAAACCTTAGTGACCTAATACGGACAAACTGGAAACCTAATTACCCTCCTAAATCATTAACCCTAATTTTAAAGACATTGAGAATATATGACCATCAACAGTAAACTAGTTCGTTTAGAACTCGCGTCGTCCCATATCGACCAGAAGAAGTACCTGCTACTCCTCTATATGGCGAAGCTCTTCATCTATAGTCGTCCCTTCGGGGACATCCGATAAAATTGGGACGATACAGAGAAGATTAGCATGGCCCCTGCGCAAGGATGACACGCACAAATCGAGAAATGGTCAAAAAAAATTTTAAAACCCTTCGTCGTCTTCTCTGAAACCCTAATTCCATTTTCAAATGCTAATAGAGTTCAATTGCAATTCTTACGTTTCAGTAGATGAACTACTGAAGTCATGATCAGACAACATGTGGATTCCATGGTCATATTGATCTTCTTGTTGATGTCTTCAACCATTTATGGCAAGTAAGGGTGATCTTTCTTTCTATAAAGTCTTCTTTAAGTTTTTTACTTTTCCTGTCATTAAGTTTCATGCTTTATAAACTTCCGGTTATGTGTTGTATATAGTCTGTATGTGTTTGTTTATGTGCTAATTTTTTATTCATTTTGCAACTTCAGTTTCTTAGTTCATGTTGTTGTTTTGCTGTTTATAAAATAATTAATAATACACATTATTTGCAAGTCCCTGTTGGTTTTACATTTCCATTCGTTATCAAATGTAGACATTGATGGGAGGTATCAAAGTGAGATTGTTTTTGTACATATGGATGTGTTCATGTAAACATTTAAATGACAAAAAAGAAGTTATTGATAAAATGTTGCATATTTATGTAATGAAGATCATCAATCATATGAGTTTTTGGACTTGGAAATTTTGGAAGGGTTGTGTGATAAGTTTAAATGGAAGCAACTATTTTCAGTCAAACAAGTCAGTCACATTGATTAGTAAGCATGTTTTCTAAATAATTAGGGGTAATGACTTAGGAGGGTAATTATGTTTCCAGATTGTCCGTATTAGGTCACTAAGATTTTTTTGTGCGTATTAGACCAATATGGTTGTTATTACCGTTTAGAAATAGTCATTTTTACCGGTTAAACAGGAAGAAACCGGTAAAAATGACTATTTCTAAACGGTAATAACAACCATATTGGTCTAATACGCACAAAAAAAAACCTTAGTGACCTAATAGAGACAAACAGAAAACCTAATTACCCTCCTAAGTCATTATCCCACACTAAAATTATGATTGAACAACACAAGAGTATAGCATTCTTTTTATGATGAATGGTGAAAACAATTGATGAGACAGGGAAGAAAATAGTATGTATAAACTATAAAGTATGATAACTATTTATTTGAAAAACGGTAAATTAATATTTTTATTTCAAAGATATAATATATAAATCCATTTTTTAAAATCTATACATGCTCTGTACTCGTACATTTTTCAAGTTGGTTATTAGTTGAAAGAAGACAAGACGAATCCAAATGTAAAATAATGTAAAAAGAAGTTCTTAAAAACAAAAATTAAAAGCGTCTGTTCAGAAAAAGTGTAGGGACTATATTTGCAATTCACTGATTTTCATCTTAAAGTCAGCTCATATAAGTTACTGATCCAACGTTCACAATAAACACGTTGAAACCGAAAATCCCTGTTATAAAAGCATGTCATCTCCCCACTGTCATGTCACTCCTCGAGTTCTACTTTCATCTACTCACTGGTAATTACGTTATATATTTTTCTCCAATTAATTGTATAATGCAAAACAAATTGTATGAACAATGTTATTTTAGCTTTGATTGAGTCGTGATTTCATCCATTATCATCTTCTCGAATGACATCGGCGATCTTCTGGTTATATGCTTTGATTCTATGCTCATTGCACTTCAATTTTCCATTCGGTGTGTTACTTATAGAGTGAATGTACACATAAATTTGGTTACTATGTGTTTTCCATGAGTGATTTTTGTTTTGAATCCTTTGATTTTGCTCATGCAATTGCACATCGCGTCTAATTTTTTTTTTCTCAGCTTTGGTTAAGTCGTGATATCATCGGCGAATGGCGATCTTCTTCTTACGTGCTTTGATTTTTTGAACTTTCAGTAATTTTCGAGACCATGGGGAAATCCTATCCAGCTGTGAGTGACGAATACATGAAAGCTGTTGATGAAGCGAAGAGGAAGCTTCGAGACTTATTCACTGAGCAGAACTGTGCTCCTCTGATGCTTCGAATGGCGTAAGCTAACAACACAGAGACTCCATTGTTCTTGCCGATTTTAATTTAACCTAATTATGGTTTCAGATTTCATTCTGCTGGAACTTTTGATGTGAACTCCAAAACCGGAGGTCCATTCGGAACCATGAGGCAAAAAGCTGAACAAGCTCATGGACCCAACGTTGGCCTTGACACTGCTGTCAATCTACTGGAACCAGTCAAACAAGAGCTTCCAGTCATCTCATATGCTGACTTTTATATGGTGAATTAAATCACTACTTTCATAAACTTGATTCATGTAATCTTTCGGATATTATTAATCTCCTTTTTCATACAGTTGGCTGGCATTGTTGCTGTTGAGACCACCGGAGGACCAAATATCCCTTTCCACCCAGGCAGACAAGACAAAGATGAGCCACCAGCAGACGGGCGTCTCCCTCTTCCCAATCAGGGTTCGTGAATCATGATGAAATATAACTTAATTTCATTATGGATTTGGGGAATTAAGTTATTTCATTTCATATGTATATTTCAGGAAGCGATCAATTAAGAGCTATATTTATCAACACCATGGGTCTGAATGATCAGGACATTGTTGCTCTTTCTGGTGGCCATACTTTGGTAATTAGCCATTTTATCATTTTCTTTCGGTTATCCATCAAATGGTTTGTTTATACTTTATAATGTAAGTGATTATATATTTATATGGTTCCATAGGGATCTTGCCATAGGGATCGATCTGGGATTGAAGGATCATGGACACGTAACCCGTTGACATTCGATAATAGCTACTTCAAGTAACACTTATTTAAATTTTTTTTTTTCGTAAAATAAAGATTTAAATTATTTGTAATTATTGATTCGGTTTAATCGGTTACAGAGAACTTCTAGCTGGTGAGAAGGAAGGGCTTGTTCAGCTACCTACCGATAAGGCCCTCCTTGAAGATCCTGTTTTCCGTCCTCTCGTTGAAAAATTTGCTTTGGTACCTACATTTAATTGCGTTTGTTATACTGTAATGTATTTTACTATATTATACTGGACATGATATAACATCACAAATTTTTTATGGCTGTTTTTTTTTTAAATGTAGTGGTATTTTTGTATTTTGTTATTCTAACTTTTTGGGTGAATTTTTATCCCATTGACATTAGTCACTAGCAGTTTATTGTGTGTCAAACAGTGTACAATCTGTTTTTTTATGTCTTGTTGTGTTTAACAAATATATTTTTCATAGGATCAAGATGCATTCTTTGGTGCTTATGCAGAATCGTTCATGAAGCTATCTGAGCTGGGGTAAATCATCAAGATTATCTCTTATTTTTGTCTAACTAGGGCGGATTTGCTAATTGTTTCCGCTTGTTTTTTTTTTCTTCAGATTTGCTGATGCTTAAGCTTTTATCATAATAAAGGCAAAAAGAGTGGTGATACGTTACGTCTTTCATTTTTTCTCCTATGCTGTAATAATACACTCTATTTTGCGAAAGAAATAATCAATAATGAAATATTTTATTTATTTTTGTCGTGTACATTTCCCCTAACATTTGAATCTAATCCTCAAACATAATCAAACTCACAGTTAATTATCAGTAATTTCCATTTACAAAGTTTTTAAACTAAATTTGGTTTCTAAAAACATATACATTCGGCAAATACTATTTTCTATCTAATAAAACATAAATAAAAAAGAAAACATTGATCCTACTGTTTTAAATACATATACATTTTGAGTCAATGTTTGAATATGATATGATGGGGCACAAAAATATCAAATAATTTTTTTTTTGAGTTAGTTGCCATATCTTGGAAACGATCCATGTCAACTTTGTTTGTAACCTTTGTTAATTATTCTTTTTCAACGGCACAAATAAAAGAATTAAAAAAACCATCACCAATCCGGTTTCTCAAAACTGATTTCATAAGCTCCATAGCCGAAAACAATGTCAAATTTACTACCCGCTACACCAAGTAATAAGAAATGTGTTTTCTTGTTTCCACCATAACTCTAGAAAGGTCGGCGGATCCATTCAAATTAGAAAACCGAACATCTTGTTTCAGAACATCATAATAAAACTAAGTTGTGCAAGATTCCTCATTTTCACATTTGTAATATCATTTGGATATAGCCTACTCTATTTTACCATATTTATGTGTCAAATAGCAAAAATAAGTAAAAACTAACAAGGGCTCAAATCCGCGATATAAGGATGAGCATCGGTCTTGGACCTGGACCGAACCAGACCGAGAACCGATTTAGGCCCTGTTTAATATGCATCTGACCGAGAACCGATTTAGGCCCTGTTTGATATGCATGAGAAAGGAATAAAGACTTTTCAATCCTATCCTTAAAAATTCTGTGCACAACAAAGGAAAAGAGGATAATGGAAATCGAACCCATCACCTCAGATTCACAAGGCAACACCTTTTCCACTATGCTAGAATGTCTTTTTTGATATATTTGCTCAAATTTTTTATATAATGTAACACTTATTATTGATGTTGTTGTTGTTGTTATTATTATTATTATTATTATCATCATCATCATCATCATCGTCGTCATCATCATCTATATTATTATTATCTTTATTATTATTATATTTATTATTATTATTATTATTATTATTATTATTATTATATTGCATAGAAACGTATAGAGCATTAGGGTAAAATGGTCATTTTGCGTCAGTCAACACATTCAATCAAATCTGCAATCAAACAATATGATTTCTTACTTAGTTAGAATTTCTTACTCATACAGACATTTCTCAGTCAATACTTTTTCAGTTAGCAACTATCAAACGAGGCATTAGTGGGTAATGAAGAATTTGGAGCCAGACTAAATACCCTAGTTCTGGTTTGGTTCTACAAGTAAGTGTGTTCTTTAGGGATATGTCTGGTTCTGAGTCTGACCCAAACCGGACAAAGATTCATGAACCGATTTTAATTGGGAAATGGAGAACATATAACCCAATTGAATACCATGGAACCGATTTTTTTTCCTGATCCAGTCTGGTTCCACCGTATCAAATGCTCATCTATACCGTCATATTTGGCAATCAGGTCCTTATCTCTCTAAAACGATCACGAAACTCTTGAAGCTGCATATCAAGAACCATGGTAAAGATATCAACTTTATAATGACGTTGATTGTTGATGTTGATATTTTGTCTTCGGTTCCTTGCATAATTATCCGACATGACGACTTTTCAATATCACATTTTTCAAAAAAGTATATTTCCTCTAAAAGATCTTTAAAAGCATCATCGATAAAATTTTGCAATTTTTTCATTGTCATTTTTACCATTGAAACCACTCTAATTATGTCTTGATTTTTTTTGAAGAGCTTGTAACAACGTATTTGTAAGTTGCGCAACATTAAGTGCAAATAAAATACTAAATTAAATGTTTTAAAATAAAAAGTAACATCATGTGCTTTTCGTCCAACAACCATCGACATATTCAAAGATACATCAACCGGTAGTCCATGGTCAACCTAAAAGTTGGCCTGATTCCAAATGCGATGAACATTCTGGTTCGATACCGAGAATTGTGAAGTAACCATACTTATGACACCCCTTTGTAACTCTCCAGAAACACTTCCTTGCAATAAGGCTTCATATATAGAACGCGTTGTTCAACACTAGTGTTCTTTTTAATGACTATAACTATGGAATGTTGTAACATCTCAAAATTAAGTTATTATAAAACTAACCGTATAAAAACATTCATAATAACATCACGTGTCAAGATCAAAGTGTCCGTAATCAAAACATATTATCATAAAATAATATCATAGTGTAATCCCAAAGATCTCATGTGCGGAAAACATAGTGTGATGCGCTGCGATCAAGCCGACTCCTTTCCTTTGAAAATAAGTACCTGAAACCAAAACTGTAAACTGTAAGCACAAAGCTTAGTGAGTTCCCCCATCATACCACATACCATACAACACACATACTGTCAGACAATTCAGGGGTGCCCGACCTACCCATGTCAAGCCATTCTGAGGTGCTCGACCTACCCTGCCAGGCAATTCTGGGGTGCCTGACCTAACCATGTCAAGCCATTTTGGGGTGCTCGACCTACCCTCCGGTTCATATGAACCGACTGCGGGGACTATTTCACCCCCTACTACTACTACTACCATATAATAACATAGCATAAACATACTACCAGGCAATTCTGGGATGCCCGACCTACCCTTCGGTCCTTACGACCGTGACACGGGGACTATTCCCCCTACTACTACTATTACATAACATTGTATCATGCTAGCACATATAACATATCAGGTAGTAGCAAACCTAGATAATTATCACAAAGACAATCATCTAATAAACAACTCCTACTAGTGGGCCGACATTGTGGCCATAGACCCACTTCTACTGGAAGGTAACTCACCTCACACTGCTGAAGTCCCACAGACGAAAACTCTAGCTGCTAGATGACAAATTCCCGATCTGTCAACATCAAAATAACACCCAATTAGTAATTGGGTTCCAACACATAACCATAAGTACATACTTGGGGTAAATACTACTTTACCCCTAACTTAGCTTAACTCAAGCCCAAGGCCCAATCCAAAGGCCCAAAAGTCAACTATGAGTCAAAGCCCAACATATGGCCCAATTTTCCAAATTGGGCCCAAACCTTTACATGGTCTTATTCTAAGGCCCAACTACTTAGTCCAGTCCAAACATTTGACATTTCTAATGGCCCACTATCTCATAATCATAAAGGCCCAATTATGGCCCATCTATGGCCTAATTTTCCAAATTGGGCCCGAACCTCACATATGGGCCTTACCCTAAAGCCCATCTAAATATTCTAGTCCATATGATTATTCTTGGATGGCCCACCAATAACCCAATCATCAAGGCCCAATAGAAAGGCCCAACTCAAGGCCCAAGTGAAATTAGGGTTTTCACATAAAATGATGATTAGGGTTAAGTGTTTCTCATTTAACCCATTAAGGACTTAATCCATTAAGTCCATCACTCTACTAGATAAATCATATGGTGTGATTGGGTGAAATTCACAATTCCATTTCAATGGCCTAAAATGCGGGTCCCGATAAGTCTAAGCCCATAATTCCAAAATTAGGGTTTTCTAAACCCTAATTAGGGTTTCTAACCCAATCCCAACCCAATAAGCCCAAAAGCTAAGTCCTTAGATCCATCAGGGTTTCATTAGGCCCATTAGGGTTTCACTAGGCCCGTTAGGGTTTCGCTAGTCGGGCACCACCCACTACCACCTCGGGTAGTGGTGGTCAACGGCGGCGGCCACCACCTCACGGTGGTGGTTAGGGTTCTAGTCCAATCGAGTCCAAGCATCCCAAACGACATCCGCACACAAACAAGCACACTGCCACCCAACACGGCAGCTGGTGGCGGCAGCCACCACTTCACGGTGGTGGTTAGAGTTTCTTTTCATTATTCAAATTTCTAATTACATTTTATAATGATAAGTTTCAAATAAACACACACATTCACTAAGATACACACACCCACGATGGTACATGGTGGCAACCACCACCTCACGGTGGTGGCGGTGGGGTCCTTCTTCGGATCTCCGGCCAAGAAAAGATCATGTAGCCCTAACCATCACAACACACGCACACAACACCATAACACGAACACAACTTCACGAGTCCACGAACTCAGCCACCATTTCACGGTGGCGGGCGGCTGACGGAGGGCGTCGGCGAGATATAGCGACCTATGGGTTGGCAGCAGTGATGTAACCATCAGAAAGAAATGGAGAAAAGAGAAGGTGGTGCGAGACCTACAACCAACCTAAGGCTGTCACACGTAACCGGAGCCCCAACGGTGGCAGATAGACGTCGGAAAAACCTTGACACATTGAACCAGCCGCAAGGCGGCGACGGTGACAGTGACAACGAGCCACAACTACAGCAGCGGCGGACGGCGGTGGTTTCGTCTTCTCGTCGGAAATGACCGCAGTGACAGCAGCGAGGCGGCAAGGGGTTCGACATCGCTGGTTGCTGATGGCAATTGATGAAGTAGCAGCGCCTGGAGGCTGCTCGATGGTGCTAGGTGGTCGGAGAATGGACGAAATGAATGGTGGCGGCTGCTAACTCATTTAGGGTTAGGGTTACAGAGGGTTGAAGGTTATATACCCCGCCCCATAAATATTTTTCCCATAATGACGCCTTTAGTCCCTCCCTTCCCATTTTCTTTCAAAGGGAGCCCATAATTTAAAATTTAAACCCTGCCTCCTGAAATCCTTTACAAATTAAGTCCGAATTTACCAAACAGCCCCTCCCTCTACCAATCCTTTCCAAATTAGGTCCAAAATTTACTCTTTAGCCCTCAGCATCCTAAATTCTTTTCAATTTAAGTCCAGTGATCAAACTTCAGCCATGTTAACATTTTTAGTCCCTCCTCCTCTCATTCTTTTCAACTTA